ATCTGCATATTCTTCCAAGGATTCTGACTGAATGCTTTTTATTCTGGTGTTTCCTTCTACAGCATCTACTTCATTCACTCCCTGGTATTCATAATCAAGTCTTACTTCTTTCTGATGAAAAATTTGGCTAGAGTTCCTTTCATCTTTCCATCTCTTGTCCAGAACTAAATGTTCTCTACTATTATAATTACTCTTTACAGAGTTTTCTTCATCATATTTATTTAGATGTCCATTCAATATTTCTTCCATAACTACATCATCATCACTGCTTGAAACAAAATCAAAGCTGCTGCTTAACCTATGACTGGATGTTTTATGTAATTTTAATGGACTTTCTGCCACATTACTTGAGAAAGATTTCTGATTGCTGTGCCTGTCCATTGCTTTTGCAGATGCCACACTCCTCTATATTTGTTTCTCTGAAGACATACTAACTTCCTCAACCTAAACAATACAGAAAATACAAAATGTTATGAGAATGTGAACTGTGCATTGTAAATCAACCTTTCTGTTTTGGTATAACACATATTTTTATTTCTTAGTATATGTCTTCTATTATTACAATATGGTGATCAAATACTTATGCACTTTCAGCTTGCAGAGCGTTCTGGCAAGATTCTGATATTCACTAATGTCTGCAGCTGCATTAGCAGAAATATTTTTTTAAGTAAAAATAAAACAAATTCTGGGATGAGTTTAACAGATGATGCATCTTAAAGAAGTTACTACGTCACTTTGTAACAGAAGCCCTTACACAAGTTATTTTTAGGTGTTAAAAGGACCATTAATTTTATTTCCACCATTTGTATGCAAATAATAATACCCAACTGCAGGGCCAATTTCAATATAACTACATAAGGTACACCTACACTAAATTATATGCCATAATGCATATAATTAACAACAGGTTGCATGGTGTAACTTCAAAAATAACATATGTGTTCATAATCAACTGTCACGCTGCATCATAATTCAGCTGACTGACTGCACTACTGTTATGGCTGAAGCATCCATTGGGATGCATTTGACAATCAGATGCTTGGACTTCCTGGGCACCTAGATAAGGTTACATTAGCTTACGTGTTTCTTTCTTCATGATCTTCACAAGAGGTGGAATAGGAGTCACACCCATTGTGAATCTTACACCATAATCAATACTTTTACTCCGTTTCTACTGTCGACTGCGGAAATTACTATATTATTCCACTTTCCTGTTCTTGATACCGAACGGCGTGGAACGAGGAATCGAATCGAGCTATGGTTTCGATGTAATTTTTTATCTCGTATCAGTAAGCAGAACATCATTATCAACAATAGTACATATTTCCATCTGTAAACTATATAACCAACCATGAGTAAAAGCAAACTCGTCTTTCACACATTCATATAACGTACTACAACTTTGTTTACATCTAACAGAAATACCAACTCTCAAACAGAACACACTGCTATGTCACAGAGTATGCGCACCACAGTTACACCAACATAGACATGCATTTCGATATATCGTTGTAATATATAGAGTAAGCGGATTAGTTCTCTTTGCAGAAGTTAATTACCGATTTGGAACGATATCGATCTCACTGGTTTCCGCAGAGAATGCAATTGCATTTGTTACGCGGTCATTGCAAACCCTTTTCCAGTCCACACTGTTCACGTATCCACTTCTTATTTCACACTCCGTCGGTTTTATAGAAGTCATACCAAATTTCATTCCCTTCTAGTTCTGTTTCACAAGTAACCGAGCCTACATTTCCGAACCAGTCATCAGCAAGTGATGTCTAAATTGCTGTATGAGGAAACCTTCCCCAGTCAGTGCATACGCCACTCGCGATGCAGAAAATTAGGAACCCGGAGGGCTCTCTTGTAGAAAGTCGCTATCACTCTTTTGCACAATGAGGACAAGTGGTGTCAGAAGAGTTGCATCATTTTGATATGGGTCATGGTCGTGTCTAAGGATGACAGTTCCAGATGAACTGTTATATATGGCCTTGATGGCTGCCACTGCTCTTTCCATTGTGGTGGATTCGGAAGGTCGTTCTCATTGTTTGTATGGCAATGGCTAGGTACTTCGTACTACAACTGATTATTCTGAAGTTCTCTTCTCCCCAACTATTATAAAGACGTCTCTAGTTGCCGAGACTGTTTCCCCTTTCCCATTCAAAATCACCAAAGCACTCAGGCGCGTTAGCACTCCTACAAAGCAAAATCATTTGTCCGTCTGCCCTCCGTACGCACATTTCAAATGTAGCATGGCTGAACGGATTTTCATTAAACTTATTATGGGAATATTACTCCTTATTGAGCTGAAGGTCGCAGTCTCCTATCCAAAGACTGAATCAATCGAACAAGTTTCACTATATAATCATGTCGTCAGCAAATATGCATACTACGACATAATACTGCGTATCTGTTCTGACCATTCCCTGCTTTTACAGAAGAACGTCCCCAGAAGCTCCATATAATATCATAGACAGTCCTTTCCTCAGCTTCAAACCGTAAATGTCTCGTTCAGTGGTCTCCCTGTTCGAGTTTTCGTTTTGCGTGTAATATTTCTTAATAATTAATTTGGTTCCAACAATATTTTTTCGTAATTATAGATAATTTAAAATGTTTAACCTTGTAACCCGTTTGTCATATCAACTGTTTTACACATTTTCCATCTTAAAAGAGAAGAAGATAATAAATTGCGCATTCGGATTTATTATTTTTATAATAGGACATGCAAATTTGTTTATCGGCAAAAACACAGTTTTTCCTACCTACATCAGATCCTTCGTTCAAGAATTCCTACTGCGTGTCTACAAAGTTCATTGCCTCTGAAATAGAAGACAGCCATCTCCAGAGCTTAACTCCTCAGTTATGCTTGGCACATATAATATTAAAGCGGCGACAGCCAGACCGTGTTATAGTCCTACGAGATCCTTTTGTCATTTAATTGCTATCCTTTACTCGTCACAATATGCTGCTAATTGCAATATAGATGTGCAAGAAAAATAAACTGGCTGAATTAAGTAATTGGTGTGGAATGATTACGTCAGTCCGCAGCCCCCTCTCTTGGCTATTTTACAATTTACAGTCATAAAAGCTTGTGGGTACCATGGCTCAATCTGAAGATATAATCGGCGAAACACTATACCAGACACCACGTAACTAACTCTGTGGCTATTCGCTAGAAGTTTCCTCCGTGACTGCCATGGAGTAAAAACATTGAGTTCCCCCCTCCCAAATGTTTTTCAATAGCCATGAAACTAAAACAAGCAACAGAACAAGTAGGACGAGAAAAATCCCGGTTCTACGAAAATCTTAATATGCGATACATGTAAGCCTGATGACGCAGTCCAACAGAAATATCGTGGTTAGGACACGTATTTTCACGAGATAACCCGTGCAACACACAAGACAACCAGAACGGTGCTCATGATACCCACTCGCAAACAACTACAGAGTTAATGCGAATGCCAAAGAAAATATTACAAGAAATCTACTGCAAGCCTACAACGAAATAAGCGTAACATTCTCATAATGACACCCAAAAATAAATAAAATTGTTGAATCAAGAAGATACCTTTTCTTTTTTAATAAATACAGGCTTTTTATAATTAGATGTGAAAAGATTAATGCGAATGTAAGCCTGCAACAGACAATGATGTGCCAACGTTTGTATGTCACGAAGCCAGAAATTAAAATTGGAACACGTCTTTGTACCTAAAATCCAAAATTTAACCATACAGTTTTATGAAGCCCAGCTATACCTCTTCCATTTGAAGAATTTTCCAGTAATTTCAAACTTCTGATCCACTTTGTCTTTTCTCATATATACATTTTGCATCGTTGTAGACAACACGACATGGAGATAATTGATATGGAGGAAAATTAGTTTCGTGTTTCAATCTAGTGTAGATCTTTTGTAAGCCTACATAGGTCGGATCTTAATTCACATTCATTAAGCGGTTTGAAAGACTGATTACTAAGTTGTTTCTTTAGTATTTTACTAGAGCTTAAGT